AGAATAGATATTCATTAACTTCAGATATTAAGCCAGTGAACTCAACTAAGGAAGGTATTTCAGACTTAAAGCATAGCTGGGTTCACTTTGCCCTGAGGATTAAAATAATTTGCCCACATCTTTGAAAATAAAGCTAGTGTCATGTTTAGAAGAAAAATTATGTTGACACAAAGAAAGAAACAATAATTGGGTCTTTGATTCATTTTAATATGATCTGATGTAAAGTCTGCCCTGGTAAGCTTTTATGTTTGTGTTGTTCCCCTGGGTATTCATTTTGTTTCTCTCTCTCTCTCTCTCTCTCTCTCTCTCTCTCTCTCTCTCTCTCTTTTCTTGAGGAACCAGGGATTGAACTCAAGCCTTTGCTCTTGCCAGGGAAGCACTTATTCTACTGAGCCATCTTCCTGGTCCCTTGTTTCCATCTCTTGTTGGGCCTGCATTTATTTATTTATTTATATTTATATTTTTATTTTTTAAAAGATGTATCAGTTATTTAATTAAGTTCTTGATAAGAAATTTAGAACACTAATTTATGAGGATAAATTCCATTTGTCCGAGCAAAAATGAATTGCAGGTAGCCCCACAGCTGAGGAACACCTTTGAGTTTTGCTAAAATCTGTGAATCTACCACTTTCTTATCCACCTTGCACTGCTCTGAAATCTGGTATGTCTCTTGGTGTCAAAGATCTCACCCTCCTGGTGAGATCTTTCTGCAGCTTCTTCTTGAATTAAACACCAGTGAAGTGTTTGGGGATTTTCACTTTTCTGATAACAATTTCTGTAGAGATGGCCATGACAAATTTCTGATGTGTTCTTCATAGAGGAATATGATTAAGGCTAAGAGGCCCAGTTACAAGAGTAGCTAGCCACTGTCCAGTTGCTTCAGGAAGACCACTCTCTTGCCTCTGTGACACCCGGTGAGGATGATCAAGATGGTGCCAGGAGTGGTGCTAGCTCAGTTTCCTCACATGCTGACTGAAGAGTTTCTTGCTCAAGAGCTTTTGGGTACATCATCAATAGGGTAGTATCTAGGCATTTTTCAAAGCTTAGGCACCCAGGTACCTCTACTTTTGTCCCTACTGACTGGATTTGTGATTGTAGCAAGAACTTTCTCCTTCTTTTTCTTCTCAATCTTTGAGTTAGCAGCTGTATACTTTCTCTCATAAAAGTCTTTCTGGAATACATGGCAGATCAGGAGTATCCATCAATTCCTGTAACCAGGACAGGATTTTGGATGCAGTGTGGCTGCCCCTTCTTGGACTTTTTTGCCTTCACCTTACCCTTTTTACCAGTACCACTGACAGAAGCCTTCTTGGCTTTGGGTATCTTCTCTTTAGTGTCTGGCTTCTCAGTTTTTTTCACCCATCTTGCAAGATCGATGGGACTTTTTTAAAAAAGAAATTTCAAAATTTTTCTTTCTTAAGTATTTTGCAAAGGGCTGGGGAGATACCTCAGCAGCATAAGCATCTGCCTAAATATTTTGCATGAATTGTAAACAAAGTCACACATTTTATATGTTTAAAATTCAGAAATTTTAATCTGGGAGAATGTAGTTACTTAAATGTCTTTCTGGATGGGAAGGTTTATATCATTAGCTAATTGAAATGCACAAATTATTAATTCAGGGAATAATTTATTTGTACTTAAATCTTAGTCACAAACAGAAATTAAAAATAAGCTCAGACTGTTTTAGTAGTTCATATTTTGGAATGACTTTTACATTCAGCACTTTTTGAAATCATTTTGTTTTAGAATCATTGGATTTTGTCATTTTATGTATTAAATAGGCACATATTTTACACATATTTGTGCATATTACAAATTAATTTTAAAATATCTTGATAATTCTATTTCTAAAAAATCATCAATAAATGAATTCTTCCAAATTTTGATCATTTAAAGATGATATTCTGGGTTGGGGAGACAGCTGGGCAGTGTATGTGCCTGCCTGGCTTAACTAACTCAGAAGCTCTACATCCTGGGGTGTGGACATGTCCTCACCACTCTAGGAAGTTGTTTATTGTGTCAACTTGAGAAGTTTAAAAGTTCAGCTAAGTGGTTCAGCAGGGGGCCAGTGTCCTTACTTTGTGTCCATCTTCCAGCCAGTGGAAAAGGAGTGCTGGCAGATGGTGTAGGCATGGACAGACAGCCCGTCTACAGCATCAGCCAGGCAAAGAAGCTTCTTCTCCTCCCCACCCTTTGCTTGTGTTGATTTTGCTGTCTTCTGCCATTTTGAAATATTGCCCGGGTGCCCTGCCACTCTGCCTTGGAGCCAGCTGTGTACGGACTGAAACCTCCAACTGTGAGCTAAACACACCTTTTCCTTCCATAAATCTGGGCAATGACAGAAAAGTAACCAGCACAATGTGTCCCAATGCTTCTCAAATAACAGCACTCTATGCTGAGCTGTCCTTCCACCATCTAATCAAAGTAAAATTGCATACATAATTCTATTTCTTTAATTTTTAATTTATTTTTGTACTCAGAGGCTGATAACATATTATTATAAAGAAAGACTGTATATTGTTTGAGAAGACCTGGTAAATATTTTCTTTCTTATTTATGGGGGTTTCCTGGCTATTCTCCCTCTTACTTCTTCAAAAGTACTATATGATTAATTTATTTAGCTCTCAAAAACCCAAGAGATTTTTAACTGAAATTGTGTTAATTTGTAATTTAACTCATTGTAATTTGTAATTTGACATCATTGTGCTTTTAGACTTTTGACCTGAGATAAAAGTATGTGCCTACATAGTGCATGCTCCATTTGCTTCTATCTAGTCTTTGTAATTTAGCATTATTTTCCTAATTTAGCTTATAGGTTTGTTTAGCTTATAGGTCTTTGTTTGTTAGCTTTATGCCTACATATTTTATTTTCTGTTTTTCTTTCTTCCTTTTTGTTTTGTGGTGCTGGGAATAGAAAGTTTGGCCTCACAGATGCTAGGTGAGTACCGCATCCTTCTTTTGTAAATATAGTCTTGTTTTATACAGATTGTCTGATTTATATCTGTAAGTAGAAGAGCTACCTTAACTTGTTCATGCTTGTTCTTGTCATTATTTCTATCAAAAGAGTTTTATTGTAGTAATTATAATACTTATCCTTGTAGTTTCCTAAGTTATTTTAGCAGAAACTCAGGTTTACAGTTTTAATTCTTCTTTTCTAATTCTATAACTCTGAATATTTTCTCTTGTATAAAGGCATTTTTAAGTTCCAGTGGAAATAATGGGCATTTTCTTGTTTTTCAATTACAGATACACACACACACACACATTTTAAGGAAGTATCTATAATTTTTTTTTTTTTTTGGAACCAGGTATTGAGCTCAGGCCCTTGTACTTGCCATGCAAGCACTTATTCTATTGAGCTATCTCCCTGGCCCTGTAAATTCTTATATTATTTTTAGTATTTTAAATATTGTTTAAGTTTTGATAAATATTTTTCTATTGTCTACGTATACCATAGAATTTTAATTCATTGTTTTATTAATATGATTAATTATATGAAAGAAATCTTGAATTTTGACTCTTGTTTCTAGAATACGTCCCACTTGGTTAAGATTTATTATGTGTTAGAAATGTTAAATTTTTTTTTCTAAGATCTATCTATAATTTTTATATTGATATGTACATGAGAGAAATCTAAATTTTCATTTTCAAATATGTTTATTATTTGAGACAAAGTTATATTTGTCTCAAGAAATAAATTCAAGGGTGATTGTGCTCTGAAAACCTAAATTAATTTTAGTATTATCTGCTACCTTAAGACTTGATAAAATTCTCTTATGAAAATTTCTGGATAGAGTACTTTTTATTAGGAAGCTATTTTAAAATTTAAAAATCATAGTTGGACTGTGTAGGAGGTTAATATTTATACACACACACAATGTGTGTGTGTGTTTCAAAACTTACCCATTTTTGTTGGGTTTCAACAAATAGTTTCTTATTTACAATTCCTATTTTGGTTATATTTGTATTATACTTTTATAGGATAGTCTCTTTCAGTTTTTTCTCTTAGTATAAAATTATTAAATTTAATTGGTCACCTTTTCACGTCTTTTTTCATGTCCCTAAGTATTCACTAATATCTTTTGCTTCCCAGTTAATGGTGGTAAAGCAACATAAAAATTCCTTCTTAAACTTTCATGCTCTCCCTCTGAACATCTGATAATTGTGTTGCATCTATATTTTCGATAACTCTAGCATGGATCTATGTGTCACATGTCAACCACATTATTCCTTTACTTAAAACAGTCACTTCCCTTCTTTTTTTCTGAGCCAAGGTCTCCCTATGAGACTCAAGCTGGCCTTGAATGCACTTTGTAGCCCAGGCTGGTCTGGAACTAGCAACCATTCTCCTGACTCAGTCTTTCTAGTGCTGGGATTACAGGTGTGCACCACCATGCCTGACACTTCTCTTTAGTTTTAAAGGCAATGCTTACAACTAATTCATACTGTTAACTCTCTGATTGCTTTGGCTGCCAGAGGAAGGGGATCGAGATGGAGTGTGTGTGCGTGTGTGTGGGGTGGGGGGGTGAGGATGAGAGATGAAGCAAAGAAATTCAGATGCCTTAGATACACGTAGCAACTCCACACAAGGAGTATAACCATCATGTACTACAGTCCCACACAAAAATGGACTCTAGTGATGCCCATTAAACAGAAAATCCTAGTGAGCTGGTTATCTCATTATGCATGCATTTCTTCCCACCTCCCAAACTCAGTGATGCCCTACAACAGCCGTCACCCATCCGCATGCAGCAGGCTCTTCCCAGGAACACATGATGCCACATGGTTAGTGCACACTGCAGCAGTCATTTGGCACCTTGACAATTACTTCCAAGTCTCTCTGTGAAAGCCGGAAGTTAGCTAACACACTTCACTGGCACACCTGCTCCCACACAAGTTTTTCACTGTATTTTTTGAGCATGGAATTATCTCTGTTTTGGAACGGATAGAGAAAGAACTAGAGAACTAAAACCTTTCCTTCTCCAAGGTTCACTCACCTCTGTTTACTTTTATGGTCCACAGAGCCAGCTGAGAGTCTGTCTATAGGAGCCCCAAAGCCAGAGAAACTCCTTTTCTTCTTTGTTTCAATCACATCATTCTCCAAAGAAACCAGTTCATCGAGAAACAAGAGTTTTGTTGCCAGGTCGGTGGCTGATTTCTCTTCCCTAACTGTGGGTGGTGATTGTGCATCTGTCACTCCAGAATCAAAGGCCTGCAGGGGAGAGCAAGGTGATGCCAATCATTTTGACCAAAAAGGAAAAAAAAGATATATGTATCATCAGCTACAATAGGCATTTCTACCTTTACGTGAGATGACCATTGCCTAAGATCTGTGATCTGTTATGGAATGACATTTCAGAGGAAAAACCTAAACTTATTTTCAGGGGAGTGAAGAGGATGAATCACACAAAGGTAGAGTACATTCAACAGGAGACAAAAGAAAATGCCTGACTTATCTCTAAATTTTAAGGGCCAGCCAAATAGCTCAGCGAATTAAAGCGCCTGCAAGCAGGCACAAGAACTGGGTTCAATCTCTGGGCATGCCATGCCAGCCCACCCCTGGGCCAGCTGAGATGGCAATTGAGACTGGGCGTGGTGGCATGTGCCTGTAATCCCAGCTCTTGGGAGGCTGTAAACAGGTGGATCACTACGAATCTGATCTATTAGTGAGACCCTGAACACCCTGCAGACCCTTCCCTAAAATACAAAAAATAAAATTTAATAGTGATGATTCTTTCAGATCTGTCCCTGTAACACTCACATCCTTTCCTGCCATTCCCGAAGCATTTTGTGTATACCTATTTCATTAAAGCATTCATTATATTTTACCTTATACTAGATTGGCTATTTCATTTGTATCCTATATTAGTTATAAATAACGTGAAGACAGTGAATGTCTGATTAATCTTTTATTTGCTTTGTGGCTAGCCCGGAATTTTGTTCATAGTTAGAAGTCACATTTTTGATGACTATTTACTGAATAAATTCTGAAAAAAATAACAAGCTTCATTCTATTTTCCTATTTTCTGTTAACTACTTATTCATTATTTGATGGAAGCCACTAAAAATTCACCATTGATCAGATGCCATATAAACCTTAAGAGATGAACATATATGAATAAAATTCAGTTTCTGTTGGCAGCGAACTTAATATCTACATTCATGGATAAATTAATCAATATTCATGAACATCTACGGTGCATCAGAAGGATCTTGATAACTATGTTCCCAGGCAAAATTTTTGCATGTTTATTTAATACATAAATGGCTGATTTGTGCTTCACACAAGACATCTAAGCCTGAGTGTCTAATTTGTGAAGTATTTTTCCCTCCTTAGGCCCAAGTACAGCATTAAAAACCCTGCTTTATTAACAATCCGGAGTTATTCTGTAGCACTGGAAACACTGTCATTTCTAACAGACTGAAAGTATATGCTGCAGAGAAGGACATTTTCACTCTAGGAGATTGTTTGCCTTCCTCCATTTAATCCCGTTCTTCCAATTGCCATAAACTTGGCCCCAACATAGAAACTGGAAAAGGAAAAATTAGAAAACAATTCCAAGGAAGGGCAGGACACAAAACTTTAAAGGGCAGAGATCTTTGATTTCTCAGAGCATCCTCCAAAAATGTTATTCTTCTAATTAACATGCTCATTAGTACAGTTTTGTTTCTTTTCAAATATATGTTTAATCTTCAGGGGAAATATAACAGAATTCATATGAAGTTATTCTTTTACAAAATGCATTTCTGATTCTTGTTTTATGTTGTTTGAGTAGTGAGAATATATGCTTTTAATAAGATCATAATAAGACAAAGTAAATTTTCTCTGTGTGAAAATGGCCCCATATATTTTTATTTGTATTTTAATCAAGACACCAAGAAAACATTTATATGGTAATAAAATCTTTGCCTAAAGGTACTCAAAATCTGGCATGCAAACAATTTAAAATTTCACACACAGTTCTTAATGTTTATGCAACTGAATTAATTGTAGTTGAAATTATAAAAAAACTTTCCATGCTTCTCTGTTTGAAGAATACAAGTCTTTGCCAGCATTTCACGTCTCTTAACGTGTATGTAAGTAGCTTGTTCTGAATCTACTGAGAAGATCAGTAATTGTCGCTATTTGCACTTGAAGGTTTCAACCTTGACTGCTGTTGGGAATAAAAATAAAATAATAGAAAAATACCTCTGTTTTTAGGTACATATACCTGTATTTCATTATCAAATCATTCTCCTGTTTGTCAGGAACTTCCTAATACTCTAATAGAAATGGCTTATGGTTTCAAACATGAAGACATGGCCCTAGAAGCTGGGTTTATCACCTCGGTCGTTCCGTCCACTGAGAAGACTTCTCCTGAACTCCAGAGCATCAGGGTCAGAGCCAGGATGATCTGTGCACCAGGCAGTCTCCAGTCCAGCATCTGAGGGTCAGAGACAGCAGCGTTAGCCTTCATTAGTTTGAAAGATAAAGATAGAAAAATAAAAGTTCCTTAAAGCTTATTACAAGAAAATAATAAATTATTCGCTTCTTTAGGAATGTATTTATAGCAACCTGAATGATATTCAGTAGAGGCTGTCAAGCTCTCAGAACAAAATCTATAAAGATATCATTTCCATAGACCCTTAGATTGGATTTGTACAGATATAATAATAATTTAATTCAAACTAATCTAGCATATAACAAATTCAGCTCATATACCTTTACTCTTCATCTAATGCAGAGATTTCAAAGTCAAACACTTAAGTGAAAATGTATAAAATGGTCCAGATACAATGGTGAGATATGTCAGCAGACTAAGTGCCTGCTTAAGCAAGTGCAAGGACTGGGGTTTGATCCCTGGTACCACACGCTGCACCAGCCCTGCACTTGGCTGTGCTGAGGCAGGGACAGAGTCCAGTCATGGTGTTGCAGTCTGTAATCCCAGCACTGGGGAGGCTGAAAGCAGGAGGATCGCTATGAGTCCGAGCCACGTAGTGAGGCCCTATTCTAAATACATTAAAAAAAAAAAAAACCTAAAGATAATTCCAAGTGGAGGCTAAAACAGAAATATCTTAAAGATATAAAATATTATGAATTCAAAATCTCAAAACATCCTACATTCAAATGGAGAACAGCTTTATACTCTTTTCTTTTATCTCTATTTCTTTTTTAAAATGTATTCAGTACAGGGTGTTACTACACAGCTTGGACTTGGACTCATAGTGATTTTCCTGTCTCAGCCTCCCGAGCAGTGAGAATAGGTGTGTGTCACCAGGCCTGGTCTTGTCAGCTCAGCACAGCCAGGGGTGTGGCAGGCTTGGCATGTGGTGCCAGAGATCGAACCCAGGTCCTGTGCTTACCTAAACAGGCACTTAGTAAGCTGAGCTATCTTGCCGGCCCTTTTATCCATATTTCTTAAAAACGATCAAAAGAATGGCATTTCATAGAAAATTATCAAAGTTTAGTATATAAAACTTTAAAAATTCTGTATGAAAAGATACAATAAATAAAATTTAAAAACAAATTACACAATTAAATGTGTGATTATGTTGATTTTTTTAACATATATACAAAAGCAAAATTAGTACCTAGAAAAGGTAAATAAATTTCATTAATAAAATGTTTAAAAAGCCAAGGAAACATAAGCCTAAGTACTGAATGTGAATTTCACAGAAAAGGAGAGAGTTTAATGGAAAATGTTTGTTAATACATGCAACTTATAGGGTAAATATAAAGAAAAGTGATATTTTACATACATCAGATCAAGAAAAAATTAAAGTTACTATATCAACATGTCAGAATGGAACAAAAAGAAAACTGCTGAAAGTTCTAACAGAGTAAGAGATGGATCTAACTATCGGGAGGATACTGGCAATAAACAGAAATATTGAAAATGGTCAGGTCCTTTCTGTAACACATTGGTTTCACTTCTACTGTATATCTCTGGGGAACTCCTACATCTTAGGAAGGACATAGGTGTCAGCAAACTCTGAGCCTCATTTTTCTTAGTAATAAAAATTTGTAATCAATCTATTCGCTTCATTCAAGAGAGAATGCATTTATTAATGCATTTAAACTGGAGTAAAAGTAGATGACTTGGCTCTATGTACGCTTATTGTTAAAACAAGTAATTTAAATACATGTGTATCTAAATGTATGGATTTCAAAAAAATCCTTTTTTGGGGATAGGGAAGTGTTAGAACAGTACCTAAGACATAAAAGAATTTGCCTAAGCCATTCAATAAATTTTGAAGTATATATATGTAAAAATACAAGCCAATGAAACCTGATTAATGATTTGGTTGCCTCCAAGGATGGAGAAAAATAAATCAGATTATAGAGGATGATAAATGCCTAGTTTTAAATTTATAATTTTATTTTTTCCCAAAAAACATTATATGCACTTATTTTGAGTAATGAGCACCAAGGTCTGTCATTCCCAAATACCTGACTTTATACTAAAAAGACATCATCGTAACACCAGCTAAGTCTCATCTATGCTTTATATCAGGCTTGCTGGCTTTCAGCTTGCCCAATGCACCCCTCAATCCTGCACAGTCGTGAAGAGGCACTACCCTGCTGAGGGAAGACCACGGGAAAGGCTGGAGCAGAGCCAGCCTGAAGACAGCTGAGACACTGTATTCCCAGATGGCATTGTTTAGGGATGAACACTTCAGACATGTGGCAACTTTGTTGGGAAAAAGAGAATTTAGATGGTAGAGAATTTCAAGATTAAGCTTGAGTCCCATTTTGCTATATTATTATCATGATCTTGAAACACATCGTGAAGCCCACTTCAATTTCCTTTATTTATTTATTTATTTATTTATTTATTTATTTATTTATTTTTGTGGAACTAGGGATTGAACTCAGGACCCTACGCTTGGCAGGCAAGTGCTGATTCTACTGAGCTATCTCCCCAGCCCCTTCATTTTCCTTATCTGAATTTCATTTCCTTATTTCTTATTTAAGTCTCTCACAAAAAGGTGGAGTTTTGAGGTAGTTGTGTTAATTTATGCATAATCCCTTTATTTCATGTCATATTTGTAGTCTGTAAATGAAAGGACACTTATGGGGTTTTACTAAATATTTCCTTAATAACAAAATTCTTTTTCCTATCATCAAAATTTTCTTTTTGAAACTTCAAAAATTATTACTGTACTGTAATACCATAGTTCACAGGCTAGTAATAAATGTCATTAGCTAGAATAATGAATAAAAATACTTCTTACAGAGTAACATCACTACAAAGTGTGCTGATTAACACAAACTAGAGATGAAAATATTTTAGTATCATCTGTAACATTTATCGATGGAATATAACTATTTGCTTATTTGGTGTCATTACGGCATCAATTATTATTTCAGAATCTTGTCACATAATGCTGATGACTAGCTGCTTCTCTATAATCCATAGTTTTCTGGAAGGGACTAACACATTCTGTGTTTTCTTTTTGTCAAATTGATATGTAATTTGAGTTTTTCTTTAAGTACCAGAATATAACGAATCACACGATTTTAATTTAAGCAAATAAACAAATAACAGAGAAAAATGTAACAGTTATTTTCTGAAGATGCCAACCATATACTTCCTTCACCATTCTTTAGAAAGTCAGTTGTGATCATATTTTTCTCTTGATTGTGCTTGTGCTTCTTTGCCTTTCTTTCACATAAAGGAAGATATATTAAGAACATTGCTGCGTTTTAAAAAATGATCTCTTATATCTCTGTACCTTCATTTATAAAAGACCTTTCATTTAATGAAAGATAAACTACAATTGCAATATTTTTCTTCCTCATTTTTAATTATGTTAAAAATAGGTTACAAAGTGTGAATTCATCCAATTTTATAAATCTTCCCTTGTGGATTTCCTTCAACTATTTTTATATACGTTTCACTAACCAGATTTTTCTGAAATCTTGTAAAGGGCACAGGATGACGGGTGTTTATAATATTGACGATTAGTCTGAGACATATATTTTTGTGCATGGGTGTATATTGGAAAAAAAGTCATAGTGTATCATCTAACAGATAACCACATCCTGATTATTTGGATAAGGAGACTTAAAAATAAATGCGGAGTTTAAATACACACGTTTAACGGCTTAAAACCATGCTCGTCGCCAGTCGATGGAAAGGCCAAATTCCTAAATGTGGCCTCTGGTACTCGAATGCAAACAAGCACCCTGGCACCTGCCACACAAAAGACATTTGACTAACTAGTTGAAACTTGATTGCTACAAAATTAGAAGCTGAGGAAATTATAGGGAGGAAAGGAAAAGGCTCTATTTATCCCCATTTCCCTATTTTGTTGATAGTGGATAAATATAGCCCGTGACTTAAAACACTCCTTGGCCCATGCACAGTCCAGATCGCAGAAAGAAACCTCAGAGGATGTTCCCTGACTATGTGGACTTACCAAAGTGTCGCATTCTGTTTAACACATCATTCATTTTTATGGAGTAAATTCTGAATGCTACGCCTCTGGGTCGCGAGGCATTTCAACGGAAATGAGAACGGAACTTGTCCTAGAGGATTTAGTGTGTACTTCGTTCATTTTTAGGTAACGCAACTATTATGTGTTTTTACTGTTTAAATAACACTGATGAATAAACAAATGTTTGTTGGTATGTGTATTAGATCTTAAGCTTTGATTCAAAGTCTCTGGTATGTACGAAACCGTTTTATTCTGCAATAATCCTCCAAAGTGAGACTGGAGTAGTGGTGGATGGATCCAGGTGTTGAAGAGTGGAGTTTTGGCCCTTAAATTTGGAAAACAAGATATATTGTGTGTTTATTCATTTAGAACAGTCATAGGTCTTACGGACACAGAGGTGGGGAAGAGCAGGAGTCCAGAAACCCATGCAAACTTATTCAAGCCTGACTTTCATGAGAAGATTGTCAAGATGGAGAAAAATATTTCAGTTATTCGGAATTCCTGTAGCAATGAGTTATTCCAAGTGAGCTTGGAAGACAAAAAAAAAAAAAAGGATCATTTTAGAAAAAAAAAAGAGAGAGAGAAAACAACCCAGCATGAAGGAAAGTGCTAAACAGAAGCAAGGTGAACCAGTGTCTGATCTAATGCATTTTTAATGAATAAAACTTAAATTATGTGCATCAGAAGGTTGGCATTAAAGAAAAATTACTAATCAGGTGATTCGAATTTCTTTTTAATCTGAGACTTCATGACTAACATTTGTCCTGTTGATAGTTAATCAAAACATTAGAGACTCACAAGCAAATTGGGTTTTGGGGTGAATCTTGACACCATCTGGGATTTTTTTATTTTTTCTAGTACTTTGCATTGAAATATTTTAAGTAGTCCCTATTCTACCTTACCTCCCCCCACCCTCCAAAATGTAAAAGGACTTTATTAAAAATAAAATGCTAATCCATCTTTTTAAAGTTTATGTTCTCTTTCCACTTTGATTAAGACACGT